CCCACCCACACTTCATCTTCTCGTGCACGTGTCCCAGAGTGAATGGCAGCTCCAGCCCTCCACCCTCATGGGGTTTATTCAAGGCCAAATCTGCACCAAAACAGCTCCATGAGAAGCTAACGAGTCTATGGCTTACATTTGATGGAACAGCCACCACTTGCAAAATCCGAATATTTCAGAACACTGTATTCTTGACTTACTGTCTCTTGAGCTTGTTTTTGAACCCACAGTAAAGGTTCTGTTCTCTCGATCCAACAGACTTATAAAGGCTGGGCAGCAAAGCTCTGTCCTGTCACAGTAGTGTCCTATTCCAGACGGGCCTTGCCCGGATGCTTCGCATCACTTCCATGATTGGAAGTTATCAAAATGGAGTAATACCGGAACCAAACTTCACGTAACAAGGGTACGAAAGTCCACATTTAGGGAGACCGACACTTGAGGATTCTGAAGCTGACCTGGATTCATACTCTTCATCTCCAATCTTCTTGTCTCTTTCCCGACAATAATAACAACGAAACAATTATTATGGGTCTTACCTAGTGTTTCCTCTTTGCAGATGAACAGAATGGCTCCTACACTATCTAATGCTGGGCTGCTTGCTTCCTTTACTGTGGGTGCTCACTGAGGGAGAATGACACAGTGACAAGAATACCAGCCACTGAACACTCCCACCAAAGGATCATAGAGGAGGTACACCCCACTATTTGCTTGCTTCTTGGCTTACATCAGACCAAGGAGCAACAGTGCCAGCAAGGGGCCCAGAGGTCCTCCCATGTCCATGCCAGAAGGTACGAGAGCAGGGCTGACCAAGACCACGTTCTGAGATGATGGGCATGCCCTATATCTGCGCTGTCCAACATAGTGTGGCTACTGAGCCCCGGAAATGTGGCTAGTGTGATGAAGAATGGAAGTTTTAGCTGTATTTAATTTTAATTAATTAAAATTGAAATGGCTACATGTGGCTTATGGCCACCATCTTAAACAGTGCAGCTCTAGACAGACGGGCTCACCACATCACCTCAAAGAGTTTTGCCTAGTTCCTTAAAGACCTGAATCTGATCTTCCTCGAAACTCTCTTTATCACCAACGCACTTGAGAATGTCTGTAGAAAATACGGCGGCTCCCACTACCCAACGGAGGAGACACTTGGCGTGTCATTGTAGCTACAGTGAAAAGGCCCAGTGGAAAATGGGACTGGTTCCTCTGCAACCACCAGGGGTCACTGAATTGGGAACAGGGTCCCCAGGGGCTGGTATGAACACACTCCAGGCTTCTAGGCCACAAGCAAAGAGCTAAAAAAAGAAATTCTGAGTGGTTTGAAAGACTATCTTGAAAAACAAAAACAGTGGAATGAAACCAGTGGGTGTCTTGTCAGCCTTAAGCAACCATTACCACCAGCCAAAAGAACAGAACTAATTGCTTACTTAAAAGGAAAAGAAAAAAAGAGAAAAACAAAACACGAGAAAAGAACTAAATCAGAAAACATCTGAGGAATGCAAGTCGTTTCCACAGACACTTGCAGCCCAGGAGCCCGGCTGTGCTATTTCAACATGGTGGCCCCCGCTCCCTCCTCCCTGCCTACTCATCCCTGCTCCCTCTGCACTTGGGGGCGACGCCTACTTTCTTAGAGGATGACTCTTGTTTACCTGGCTAGGAAGGGGTGAAACAGATGGCACTCTTCTCTTACACAGCAGAGCGCCCCCCCCCGTGGGGTGCGGGGTGTGGGCGACGCAGTGGCTTCGGGGTTGACTAGGAAAGTCCAGCCACTTGGGTCCCACTCGCCCTCACCCGCCCCTGACCAAGCACAGCTGCTTCCTTTCTCCCAACTGCTCCCCTCGGGGCCCATCTTGTTTTGAAGAAGAAAGGACCACCCTGAACAGAAAGGGCTCTCTGTGCTCTCCTGCTTAGAGCCCAGGATGAAGTCTCGTTAGGAGGAGGAAAGGAGGGAAAACAACAAATGATTTTAAATCATCCGAGGACGGACGGAAAGGCTCTGAAATCAACGCCACGATCTCACTTTCTGGAGCAGGCTACAAGGGCCACTTTTCCAAACTTCAGGGATTTTTCTGGAAGAGGAAAATGATTGTTTTCCTTCTCAGCATCTTAAGGAGAAACATTAGATCCAGCAGTTCCTTGTGGCCCTAATTCTCTTTCTGGCCCCAGCCGGCCGGCCAAAGGCTGGAATTCTGCCCACTCTGCGAGCTCGCTCCGAAAAGTTCCCCTGAACCGCAAGGTGGATGAATCAACGGGAACAGGACAAGGCCTGGCACTGACAGCTGGCAGCCAGGGTTGGGGTCAGGGTCTCAGGTGAGGACGAGGCTGGGCGAGGAGGAGGCAGAGGGGACGGTGAAGGGACAGAGGTGACGGACAGGGTCAAACGGAGAGTAACGCAAGCTTTCCAGAAGTGTCACTTGTTCACTGGCGGCCTTGTTGCCTGAGCAGGGCTGCTCTCAGACATTCTTAGAAAACATCTGCCCAGAAGAGCAGAAGGGAGGAGGCGGAATTATTAGAAGGAACCTGAAGACAGACTCAGAATGAGAGCCAGAAGGGCTCCCAAGCTATGCCTCACATCCCTTTATTTAACGTGCCTCTGCCAGCTGCCCCCGTGGACCCACTAAGCACAGACACTCCCCCAGGCATACAAATCACACACACACTCAAACACAAATATACAGACACACACACACAGACTCACACGTAAAACGCATGCATGTACATACTTATAAACACATATATATCTACAGATAAAAACGCCTAACGTGCCCACACACACACAAAGCACAAACACCTTGAGAAAGAAACACAAACATACAGATGTACAACCATATACATATACACTATGCATACACACACCCCCCCCACAACTACACACATATACACCATGCATATACATACATACCCCACAACTACACACATATACACTTTTGCATACACTCATACACACATACTCCACAACTACATACATATACACCATGCATACACAAACATAGCCCACAACTACGCACATATACACTATGCATACACACACATACATACATACATACCCCACAACTACACACATATACACCATGCATATACATACATACCCCACAACTAGACACATATACACCATGCAGATACATACATACCCCACAACTACACACATATACACCATGCATACACAAACATACCCCACAACTACACACATATACACTATGCATACACACACATACATACATATCCCACAACTACACACATATACACTACGCATACACACATACACTACCCCACAAACCTTTGTGTTCACATAAGAAGTGGGGGTTGGGCAAACAACCAATTAATTGGGCCAAGTCTCAAAGGAGAGGAAATGAAATGAAAAATCCAAGCTGGGTTATAAAAATAAGTATTTTTTTCCAACGTGCAGGAGGCTCATTATATTAATTAAACATTATTGCGTGAATGAGGGGAAGGAGGGTGATTAAGGCAGGGACGAGGTGAGCGCTCCCGCTTGCTGCCCGAGGCGGGGGTGGTCGCAGATATTAATCTCTCTGAGCACTCAAATGTTGAAGAGATAAACACTTGAAATACGAAAATGTTTTTCTCCAGAGTAGACCTGTGACCCTCCAGGAAAGCAAGCACAGGCTGGGTCAGGAGGCTGGCCGCTGTGCTCTCCTGGCCTCGGTCCCGGGGGAGGGGCGTGCAGGGGACCCAGCCAGTCTGTGGGGTGAGGGGCAGCAGAGTGGCTCTGGGGAACCCTGCAGAAGGGGACGTCCCTTCCCCCTTTTATTCTCCAGTCAGGCAACATCTGACCCACCAATTTCCAGAACTAGCCCCTTTCTTCTCAAACGCTTGTGGGGGCCTAAGGTCCAGGCCTGGGAAGCAGGAAAATTGAAAGCTAATGCATGGTGTGCGGGAGCCAACGTGCTGTGGCTCGTGAGAGCTGGTTGTTAAATTTTCTGGAATTTTGCAAGCCAGTCAAATGCAATCATTATTAAAAATTAAATTACATAAAGTTACAATTAAATAAGTTATATTAAAAACTAAAGGTAATAAATTCCTGAAAACTCAACACTTCCTAATTATTTTAATACATTTTACCAGTACCTATGCTCCCGAAGTCATTCACGAGTATTGTATCCGTGTGATGGGAAAAACCACATAACTCTGTGTTATTGTGCCTCTCCCTTCACCTCCGATGCCGTCATGTTGGGAGCTCGAGTTCAGCCATAGCAGGAGTATTTACACCACCCAGCGTGCCCCATGACCAAGCAGGGCTGCTGTTAGCCCCCCCCAGGAGCCGGTCGATGCGCATTTCCCAGAAGGGCCCTGTCAAAGCGGGCGACTGTGAGATGGGGATAGCCCTGTGCTACGTGTTCAGAAGGGCTGAAGGTCCCTCTCTACCAACAGGGCCAGGGTTTCAATTCCTCTGAAACCCGGCTCTCTGAAACTAAAGGGGGCTTTGTGATGTTTCAAGCACCGGCAGCAACACTCCCCCGGAGGCCACGGGCCAGGCAGCTCTGCTGGACACCCACAGGGGTGGCAGCACTTCAGGCCCTTGACTCGGTTTTCTGCAGAAGCGATGATCCCCTTGGAGGACTATCAGGCAGACTAGAGGCCAGTGGTTTCCTAATGAGCCATTTTAGGAACAATACCCAGCTTGGAGTTGACAAGAGGCTCTGTGACAGTGGCAGCAAGTGCTGGCTATGGGGACACGGGACACTGACTCATCCCATCTCCCAGGACCTCCCCACTGCTCGTTCCTTCTTCCTCTTCTTTCTTTCGTGTCGGCCCCTCTCACCGCTCCCCGCTCCCAGGCTGTACTGTAGTCAGGAGGAGAGCCAGGCACCACCCCGCAGCGATTCTGCAGGGTGATGTCCCGAGCAAAGGCTGCAGTGGTTTGTGGGCAAAGAGCAGAGGACGGTCTGTGTGGGAGGTTGGGAAGCTGGTCAGGGAAACTGGAGCTGAGAGACGTGGAGCAGGAAGCCCTAGCCTTCTCATCTTTGCATCTGCAGCTGGCCTACCTGGGAACGTCCGGTCGCTCGGGCTGGTGCTGCTGGTCCAGGCGCTCCTGAGCCACTTGGCGTGGTCGTACATCCACCCACAGGGCTCCTCAGGGAAATCGAAGTTGCAGTTGAATCCTGAAGGGAGCTGCAAGTCTTTGTCTAAAAGGGAAAAAAGAACAACCAGAGGAGGGCAGATGAAATGGGTTCGGAGAAGAGCTGAGCGGCACTGTTTGAATTGCTGGCAAGGCCTACTGGAGAGCAGAGAAAGAGCGGCTCCCCGTGCGGATTCATTTAACTCATCCTGGCGACCGCCGGCTCTCGGGTCAGCCTCTGGTCTCATCCTTCCCAGGCAGGAAAGCCAAGTCTGCCGTGGTTCCCATAGTAAACAATTACAAATGAGGCCACCAAATGGCTTCGGGCTCTACACAGCCTCTTCTGTCCACCTTGGAGAGCAGACAAATGTGAAAATCGCGGTTCCCTAAATGCCAGAGAAGAATGTCTCCCAAGGGCCTCAGGGAAGGCTTGCTCCTGCCAACCTGGCTCTCAGAAGCGATGGGGCAGCCTGTTAGCATCCGGAGGGGCTCACACGCCGGCAGGAGCTGGCCAGGGAGGAGAAAGCGGCCTCGGAAACAAGGAAGGCTTGTGTGCTGCCCTCCGGCATCCCCATGGGGGGCGCACTGCCAGGCGGGCAGTGTGGCAAGTGGGGGCAAAACGAGGGGGCCAGACCAGCCAGCCGGCCAGCTCAGCACCGACCAGGAGGAGAAACAATGTCATGTGGCACTGGGGGCCTGAAGGCCAGGGCCCCAGGGGCAGCCGAGAACACTTCCCTCGTGGAAATCACAAAGTGACCACACACCGGCTCACCCCATCTGCTTGGTTGTTCACCTGCCTGAGCCAGAAGATGGAATCCACTCGGCTCTGAGAATCCAGTCTGAGCCGGTGCCAAGGATGTGAGGAAGTGGGGTGGTGAGGGGGGGGCGAGCAGGGCTGGCCTGGAGGGCTGCCGGCAGGGGCCGAGGAGGCAGCAGAAGGTGCTGGCCACTGCGGGGAGCAGGGAGGAAGCGGGGCCTTTGGCCTTCTCACTTCCCTTCTCGGGGTTCCCAGAGAGGACTTTCCGTGGGGAAGGCCAAGCATGCAGGCTAGGAAGTCTAAAAGGGAACAGCAGACTGCTGGAAACAAACGCTCACACTGTGGGGGTGGGGAGGGCTCCCTCGTAGGGCAGGGCTCACGGGCCTTGGAGGCAGATGCCTCCGGGTCCTGTTTGTGCCTCCCTTTCTGGAGAGAGAATACCCAACGTTGGCCCACCCTTGGCCAAAGGCAGCTGGAGTCGACAGGAAGCACGTGGAATCTATTACAGAAGCATCAACTCCTGGCTTGGAAGGTCGGCCCTTGGCCCTCACTGTCCCCTTCTCCCAACAATTTCTGAATTTCTATTTTTCCGTTCAAAAATATGGAGTAATTCAGTATACCATAATTGCTCTCTACTGTTTACATGCATACTGTATCATAGGAACCAAACTCCACAATGAGATCTTTTGCAGAAAAAGAGAAGGGAGGAACCAGCAGAGAAACCTCAAATGAAAGAAACCACTAGAAACCGGAGAATTATGTTAAACTTGGGCGAGTCTGCGGCGGAACCTTCCGTTTTCCTTGGATCTCCAGTTAGACAGAACCCCTCCCCTGTGCTCCACAGGCTCGCCCCGCTAATCCGATACCAGGCATTAACTCCCTGTGCGTTCCACCTTTGGCTCTCAAACTGTCCTAAACATGTCTTGGAAGATCCTCCAAGTCGCTTTCTCCTCTTCATAAAACAAAAACAAGTTCATTAAAATGTCAGAATTCTGTATTCAACTAACCCTGACCAAGTGTCCCCCGCCCACACAACATACACCAGCACATTCCTGAAAGCATATGCATTAAATTATCATTTTCAGTCACACAACTTCAGCATTTACTTTTGGCTCCTCTCCCATGCTTCTCTGTAGCCATCTTTTGAAGCCATCCATGCCATCAGTGCATTTCCTCATACTGTCAAGTGGCTGAGTGCGGGGTCCACAGGTTTCACCATCTACCCGCGGGGTCTGTGCCACATTGCTGTGTCTCCATCACTTCCCAAGTCTCTTCACCAATTTCCCTCATTTCACTTAATGAGCGCTTAATAATGATCAGTAATTTACTGTAAACGGAGGCTGTCAAGCAGTAAATTCTAGCCAAAAATGCCAGGTGTTCCAAAATTTGTGGTTTGTTAGGAATGTCCTCATACTCCATAACCTTCGAGATATGATTTAAATTATGACATCCTTTTGGACTCTGCCAATTATTGTTTTTAGATAACTTGGATGCGTTTAGAAGATAAGATGAAAGTACTACAGATTTCCACGTGAAGAGATGCATCCAAAACAAGGCAGCCCTGAGTTTTGAAGGAACAGTTCAGGTGCCTTTTCCCGTTTCTGCCTTTGTCACTGACCCGCACTGACGGGGAGGCGCCAACTCTGAGCTGTAATTGGCAGACTTCCTCTGTCGGTGGTGGAACACACAGGGAGATGTAGTTAAGGAATGGCTTACTGCTGAGTTAACGGGACTGTGGCACTCCAGGACCAGATCACCCAAATGATCCCCAGATCTTCCTGACTGTACCGGGGAGACACAGCTTAGCAGAAAATGCCACCATGCTGTGGGTTAAGGATGCAGAGTGTGGGCTAGAAAAGGAGATTTCCTGAGGGAGGATGGACCCTTAGATGATGACCAGTGGGTTCATGCCTGTGGGGCTTCACTGGTTGTTCCAGTATTTGAACACTTCACAATGGTTGTAAATGGCTACTGACCACAGCTCCTGAGTGCCCACACCTCCCTGACCTCTGACCCAGGGGACCCCAGTCCCTGTGCTCCATGCCCACTGGTCGGCACCCGTGCCACCCCGGATGAAATACGGCTCTGACCCCATTCTCACCATCCTCAAAGCTGCAGTTCTCCCCACACTCCGTGGCCTCCTCGTCGATGGGGTACGGGGTGGTGGTCTCCTCGCTCTTCACGGTGGGTCCCAACGTCTCAACCGTGGGCCTTGAGTCTGCGTAAAGGCAAGGGAAGGGAGTGAAGCCCAGCAGGAGGAAGGCGCCGAAGACCAAGTTTCCTCTCTATGCGTGGGGCTTTTAGAGAAGGAGTGAAAGGAGAGCAAAGACGCTCACACGTCTCTGAGTCACCCGTGTGCTGTCAGGGAAGCAGGGGGCATCGCCTGAGCGGAGGGAGAATGGGTCCCGAGTCTCAGAAATAGCCTCAGAGAGGCACGACACAACCCCACGCCTTTACTCCACTGCAGACGCCCGTGGCCGGCACAAGAGGCCGTGGAGACAGGAATGGATGCGGGCGATGCTGACCCCAAGTCAGGGCTCACGGTGGTCCGGGTGTTCTGGTTAAGACAGAGCGAGGGCGGTGCACTCGCGAAATGAACGATGCCCACCAAAAATGGTTCGGAAAAATCTCGGTCTTGATGAAGTGAGCTCTGCTCTGTGGAGAAGGCCTACCCGTGCCTCGCCCTGTGGGTGGCTGCCCATGGGCCCTCCCGGCTCACCCCTGCCTTGGGGGGAATAGGCCTTCTCTTTTCAGCCTCCTCTGAGTCCGAGAGAACTTTTTTGAGCCAAAGCTAACCAGACCCAGGAGCCCACCTATAACAAGACAGTCTGAGCACAATCATTGAGGCCGTACTCGAAGCCAGGCAGCCAGGGAGGTGTGACCCCAGACACTGCAGTTTGCGTTTGCACAAAACTGAATGGAAAGGAATATGGATTCAAAGGGATCCAGACTCCACTTGGTGGAAGAAATTTGGGGCTGTGCCATCAGGTCAGGGTGTGGCAAATCCCAATGCTGCCTGGATCCCAACGGCCACCGTCAGGGAGGATGGCTGCCAGGGGCTGGGAGAGTCAAGTGTGGGAGGGAAGGTGGCAGAGGGATCTTGCGTGCCTGATTTACAGGAGGCCACCGTCACTGGCTCCAGTAGATTGAGGTTCTGAGGGGAGGTGGCCCAGGGTGGCCAGATATTGCAAAAAAATTTTTTTTTCCCCACATGAAGCCAAAATTCCCCACGGAAAATCTCCAGAGTTGTCAATGTTGGCAACTTATTCAAAACTTATTCAAATACTAACAAGTAGCAGGCACTAGAACGGCGGGGCCAAGCCTGGCTGCAGGCAGACAGTTCTAACTCGGCTCTGGGTGACTCATTCATCCATCCATCCATTTGTCTGTTTGCTCAAGCCAGTCATTCATTCAGCAGCCATTTATGAAATGAATGAAACCATGAGTCAGCCGCTGGGTGGGGTAAAGGAGAGGTCTGGTAACCCGTGTTCAAGCCCATGTGTTGTGGGGTGGGGTCTTCACCCCAGAGTCGCCCTCCAACAGACTCCCCGAATCAGCCCGGGCATTGTTCCTCGCATTTCTATACATCTTCCTTTGCGCCATTGTGCGTGATTTGGCTCCTTTGTCAGGCACCCTTCAGGATACCATTTCATAGAGCCAGGAGCTGAAGGAAATCGCTACAGACGCTGAATAGCTTTTTCACGGTCGACTTCCCACCTTTCTGCTATTAAACACAACACACCTAACCTTTCATGCTTCCCTTTGCGGAGTCTGCCTCTTGCTCATGGTAAACAGCAAACAACCTCAAAGAGTCCTAATTTGTAAGTTCAAATTTGTCACTGTGTCGTGGAATCTCAAACTCAATTGTAAAGCAAACTGTGGGCAGCAAGCTGAGAAGGAACCATTTGAAACACAAACGAGCAGGTGAAGCGGCCCTCTCAATATTGAGCTGCAGCAACCCAACTCAGCCCCATATTTTTCCTGTTATCCTTTTGGGGTGGGAATGTAGAAGTGAACTGAAGATGAGTTGCAGAAATGAATGGAAATTTGAGAAGCAACAAAGCCGCCTGACCTAGGAGACCAGTTTCTGGAACTATTAGGTAGCCAAATGGGTAACCTGGCTGGTGGGGACCATGGGAAACCTGGGGGCGCAGGGACCGGCGAGGCACGGAGAGCCAGGGCCGGGCATGTGGAGGACGGGAGGGAGCCACAGCCGGCCTCCTGTCCAGGGCGTTTGTACTGGGCATGCAGAGGTAACTGCCCCTGGAGCTCAGCAGTCCCGCAATTGAAACCAGATGTCACAGACTTCAAAGGCAAGGAACCGGGGCAGAGGGTGACGAGCCCCAACTCCCATCTTCCCAGGAATGGACAGGCAGGACTTTGAAATGAGAAACCTGTTGCTGACCATCGCCAGTGTAATTTGGGCCAGGCTGGGGTGGGGAGCAAGAAGCGGAAAAGCCATTAGCAACTATCCAGGTAGTCATAAAGCAGGACCAGCCTGGAAGAGGGCAGAGGAGGGGAGGGAAGGATGAGCCAGCCCCCAGCCAGGGAGAGACCTCTGCAAGTGGCTTCCTCTCCCTGGGACTCAGTTTCCCCATCTGTGAAAGAGGCATTGGCCTAGATCTGCAAGGGTTTCAAACTGTATGTCACACTCATTGGCAGGTTGTGGGATCAATCTAATGGGTCATTTCTAGCATTTTGAGATACGGATGATGATCTCCAGTGTGCACCCACACGTAAGCAGGAGCTCTCCTTTGGGAACCTTCCCTTCCAGTTACATTTACGTATTGTAACAGGTATTATTAGGAGCATCCACTATTTTCCTGAAATCTTATAACAACCCCAGGGGCGTAGATATACTGTTATGATCCCTGTTTCTCAGCTAAGATGCTCAGAGGCCAGGGATCTTGTCTGAGGCGATGCAGCCAGCCATCGGCAGGGGCAGGCCCATACTTGGCAATCCATGAGCGTGCGTGTGTGCACGCTCACATGTACGTGCTTGTAAGTCACGTGGGTCATGATACAAATTTATTTTAAATTGTGGATGATGGTCAAGACATTTGAAAGCCAGTGGCCTGGAAGCTCCTGGGTCTCTTGCACCCTCTGAATCTGGGGAGGCCATTGATGAAGCCAGCTCATGTCACTGTAGGAAGGGCCCTCAGCTCCTGCAGGGGGACGGTGACCCACACGCAGCTGGCCGCAGGGAAACCTGGCTCTACCCGACACACTGGGGAGTAACCGCGGTCACCGGGGCTGCCTCCAGCCCCAAGGTGAGAGAGGCCACTCCTCCTCTGCACATCCTAGTGACACAGGAGCACCCCCCCTCCCCCGCCCCCAGGGGCCCAAAGGACTTCTGGGACAGGCCCTTACGAATCCTGCACGATGTCCCACCCGGTGACTGCTGACAGGTGTGGCAGAGACAGAAAAAGGGAGATCCTGGGGGCCTGGCGGGGCGGGCAGTGCTGCTCCTGCTGGCGCTGGTGCTTGCCTCCGGGTCTCCCCGAGCTCCTTCCGGCTGGCAGGGAGTGAGCTCTGCTGCCAGCTCAGCCGAGGGAGCGGGCCCAACTCAGGGGACAGGGCCCTTCCTGGGGAACAAGAAGGGTGGGCCTGATCCTGCAAGGGGGATTAGATGTGCTCCAGCCCGGGCCGCCTGGGGCGCGGGGATGAGCAAGCCTCCTGCACACACGGGGAGAAGTCCTGGTCTGGTCAGCTCCCCCTCAACAGGGTCCCTCCTGAGCAAATAGATGCCTTTCACAGATGTGGCTTCAAAATGAAAATGGTCTCTTCGCCACTGACATCTGGAGGCCAGATTCAGACATAAACCAATTACTCTATTATCGTGAGGGGTTTTTTCCTTCCTAAATCAACAGCCCCGGCCCTCTGGCCTGACGAGTCCGGGTCTAATTGAATTCGGGTTGGGTGGTGTGTGATTATGCTTTGCTTTTGAGATCCTCGGGTTGGAGAACAGCAGTGATCCTTTAAATGAGACGAAGCGTGTCCCCTGAGAAACTGTCCGAGACCAGAGGCTGCAGCGCCGCGGTCAGGGCTGGAGAGCACGGCGGGCCCGGCGGGGAGGAGCCAGGGGTCTGCAGGGTTTGGGGCTGACACGACTTCCCCAGGGTGGCTGCCCCCTCTGCCCCCATCCACGTCATGGTCTGACCGCCTCCCAGGGCCCCCAGGAAGCCAGGGCCTTACCTGTCCAGTCACAGCCCAGCACTTCCAGCCGCATCCCAATGCCCGCCGGCGACCACCTCTCGGGGTACACCCGCACATACTGCGCTGGGACGGGGTCGAACCTCCGGAGGTCGGGGGTGTCGTAGTGCATGTTCCCTTCGAAGAGCTGCAGGGGAGACAGGCCGCTGAGCCCTTCTGCAGGGCCCCACTCACTGCTGCCCTTCGTCTGCTCCTCCTGCCCCCAACATCCGACCAGAAGGCAGCGTCATAGCTGACCCCTGGCCCCTGGACATCACCATCCATGGCCAGAAGGCAGCATCATAGCTGACCCCTCGTCCCTGGACATCACCATCCATGGCCAGAAGGCAGCAGCATAGCTGACCCCTCGTCCCTGGACATCACCATCCATGGTCAGAAGGCAGCATCATAGCTGACCCCTCGTCCCTGGACATCACCATCCATGGCCAGAAGGCAGCATCATAGCTGACCCCTCGTCCCTGGACATCACCATCCATGGCCAGAAGGCAGCAGCATAGCTGACCCCTCGTCCCTGGACATCACCATCCACAGGAGCGCCCCTCTCAGACCAAGGTTTCCATTCATTTGGAAGGTGGTTAGAGACCCAGAAGCAGAGAAAAGAGGGAGCAGGCGAAAGTGGAGTCATCAGGATCTGCCTTCTCTCCTGGGACTGAAACCGAGGGCTCTGGAAAGAACGAGGCTTGACCGAGTCCCACGCGGGACTCAGGCAGAGAGAAGAAAGTAGTGTAGGCTGCCTCCCCGTTCTGAAGTTCTGTTTAGTAGGAAAAGAAGTGCTAATTCTAGTTCTTCTTCTTCATTTTTTTTTTGAGGAAGATTAGCCCTGAGCTAACTGCTGCCAATCCTCCTCTTTTTGCTGAGGAAGACTGGCCCTGAGCTAACATCTGTGCCCATCTTCCTGTACTTTATATGTGGGACGCCTACCACAGCATGGCTTGAGAAGCGGTGCCATGTCCACACCCGGGATCTGAACCGGTGAACCCTGGGCCGCCCAAAAGGAACGTGTGAACCTAACCGCTGCGCCACCGGGCCGGCCCCTCGAGTTCTTCTAATGCCTGAAAGTCCAGCTTTAGAAAGTCCCAGCTGACTGGTGGCTCCCGGCTCACTGAGGGGCTGAAGGAAAGTGATGTCCCTTCTCCAGGTTAACAACAACGTCCTTGAGTCAGGACAGTCTGAGACGTGCGCCCCAAGCCTTTGTTTAGTGGAGGCTGTTCCGTCAACAGAAACCTCACCTAGAGCCCCAGTACATAGCACTGGGGGCAGTGGGGCTGCCCTGGTGGGAGGGCAGAGTCACTGATTCAGGGAAGGTTGGTGTGGGACAGCCAGGGGCTGTGCCGATTAGCAGCCAGGAATGTGGCAGGACCAGCCCATTTTGCAGGACGCCCTGGGTTCACAACTCCAAAAGGGGGCACTGCCTGGAAGGGCAGGCTCTGACCCTGCTCCTCCCACGATCGTCTCCTTCCCAGGCCCCCAGCACGGGTAGGAAGAGCCAGGGTCAGCAATCCCTGGGGAAGCCTGTGGTCCAACTTCTGCTCCATCCACTGAAGGGTCCGGTTACCAAGCCCTGAGCCTTTCCAAGCCTCAGGAATCGTGAGCTGGGAGTTTACAGCAGCGTCACAAACCCTCCAACCCAGCCCCCCACTCTGCACCATGGATGGAAACGTGCTGAGCAACGTGAGAGCTGTGCCACGGCCCCGTCCTCGTGGGGCCTGCCCTTCCAAGGGGATGACTGAGACATGGGGGTGGGAACGCTGGCCGCCCAGGAGGCTGGCCTGAGAGGGACAGAGGTGGTGTCTTGTCCCTTCCTGGGCTCCCCCTGTGGAGGGCTGACCTTCGCTCCGCCAATGGCAGAGGGGTGGCTGCCCCTGCCTGCGCTCCTGGCCCGGAGTGAGCTCCTCTGTGAGCTCCTCTTGGCTCTCCCCACTCAGTACCAGAGGCAGGAAAGATCTAAGAGTCAAGATGAGGAGCACACAGAGGATGCAGCAACACTCGGAAAAACACAGTTGTTTTTGGAAGCAATTCCATAGTTTCTATAGTTTAGCCTCCAAAAACCACATCCCCTTTGGATGTCTGGCCAGTCCCAAGGAAACTTTATCTGGAAGAGGTGTGAGGAAGGCATGCTGAGTAGCGGTTGGGCGCCTGGGCTCTGGAGTCAGAACGGTGTCTGACCATGGGCTCAGCTGCAGCTGCGCCGTGTGACCCTGGGTGTGACAGCAAGCCTCAATTTTGTCGTCTCTAAAATGGGAGTGACAAAAGGGTCCACCTTCTAGCAACGTTGTGAGGATTAAAATAAGGCACTTGGCAGAGTGCCCAGCACAACGTAATCTCTCATTAATATTTGGTTTATTGGATTATAGGCGTTGGGTGATGAATGTCCAGATGGGAAGTCAGCACCCCCAACTTAACCTCCCCGTTTGGGGTAAGGTTGCCGAGTACCCCAGGCACGGCCTACCTTTGGCTGCTGGGTCCTGGGGTCCTGGACATACTCCCAGTCCTTGCCGTTCAGGCTGTAGGAGACTTTGAACTTGCGCACAAACGCCCTGGCCTCCACAGCAGTGATGCTGTCTCCTCCACGGGCCCCCTGGATGATGACACCTTTCACCGTCTTGGGGGCTCCTAGGTCCACCTGAAGCCACTCCTCGCCCGGCTGGGCCTGAGGGATCCGAGGGAACCAGCCTGAGCGGCTGCTGACCAGGCGGGCGGCACTGGGGGTCCAGAGGTACTCGCGGGTGGAGGAGGCCGAGATCTGAGAGTCGGCGATGAGGCCCGAGAGCATCCCCAGCATGTTGGAACAGGGGGCGTCTGTGGAGAGGGGAGGGAGACACAGAGGTCGTGAGTGGCACCCTACCGACTGGGACCACCCGCAGGAGCAGAGTAAAAGAACGCAGCTATCAATCACGGTGAATTGGCACTGATTTCTTCGAGATTTGAGGCGGCAGAGCACTGTGGTTAGGAGCCAGACTGGGAGCCAGGCTGCCTGGGTTTATATTTGCCATGCCACTTACTAGCTGCACGGCCTTGGGCAAATGGTGGAATCACTCTGTGCCTCGATGTCCCCAGGTCTAAATGGGAAAACAGCAGCACCTGTCTCTTGGGGGTGGTTGCGAGGACTCCGTTAGTTACTGTATAAAAGCTCGTGGCAGGGTGCCTGGCACGTCCAAGCATCTCAGGCTGTTAGCTGAGGACGCTCGTATCCTTGTTGGTAACACCAGTCCCCACGGACCCTCCCAGGGGCAGGGAGCACAGGGGAACCCCACTGAGTATTGTTTCCTGGGTGAATGTTTTCCCAGCTAGATGGAAACGTTCCCCGGGCCAGGTCGTCCCTTCCACTGTGTCATCACAGCTCTCACCTGTCTTGGGTGCCTCTCTCATGCTGTTCCCACCAGCCAAAATGCTCTTCCGCTCAGGCATCACCAGACTAACCTTTATCAGCTCCCAACTTAAGTGTCACACCCCAGGAAAAGCCGTCCCCAAACTTTCAATCAAGAGACAGTGAGGTCCCCGGTCACTCTTTCTCACAGCACCCTGTCCTTTCCCTGCACACATGCATCTCGGTTTATGATTATCCAGCCTTGTCCCCCAGCCTGAAGGTTCCACCACGTCAGAGAGGCCCTCTGCTCTGCTCACTTGGCTGGTGCAGGCTCGGGTGGGGCCCTGCACACAGCAGGCCGCCAGTGTCTGCGGGGCGAATAAGTGAGTGGACAATGCACGCACAAGGGGCATCAGGTGGGGCAGGGTCTACCGTCGGGGTGCATTAAACACTTGTAAACTGAGTTCCAGATCAAATGATCCTCCAGCTGGCCCCTTTCCTTCAAGTCCACTGGTTCTCTCCTTTCAATCTTCTAGAAAACGAGTCTTAACTGAGTTCTCACTGGGTTGCCTGTGCTGGCCTGGAACAGCAATGGGAAAGGAACAGATCACAGGCCCCCAGGTGGCATCGGGACGAACCACTCCCATAAGTCGGAAGCGGGTCTCTGTGTAAAGGGGACAAGAGTGTAGAACGCGTACTGAGCAAACGTGGGCTCAGTTCCTGGCTCTGCCACCTCCTGGTCGGGTGATTTGGGGCGAGCCGTCTCGCCTCTTTGAGTCTCGGTTTTCTGTTCCACTCACCTCACAGGGTTGTTAGGGTAGTGAGATGTTGTAGAAGAAAGGGACGTGGAAAATTAGAGAATGTACAAACGCAAGGGGTTTTAACTAGAAGCTTAAAACAGGGTCCCATGGGGAGCCCTCGCCACCAGAGCTGAAACAGCCAGGGGACAGGGTGGGGGTGGCTGTGCCCTGAAGACCGTCCGGCACCAAAGCGGCAGCTTGCCTGCTCCGAGCTGAGTCCATAGCTCGGTTCAGACTGTCCACACACGGCTGGGACTGGTCCAGAGCATCATCTCCCGTCCAGATCACCACACCGGCCTCCTCCTGCTGTCCCAGCACCCTCTCTGTCCTTCCAATCTGTCCTCCACCTCGTGCCCTTGGGGTCTCAGTTCACACTCCGCACCCACCACGCCCTTTCTCTTCTGGTCCCACCTGCCGCAGTGCCATTGAGCAAGCTGTGACCAGCGCCTGGTGCACCTTCCCTCCCCTCTGCACCAGCTAATGCTGTGTGCCCTCTGCCTCAGCTCAGTCGCCACCTCCTCAAGGATGTCTCCCGGACCTCCTGCACTGGGTCAAGTGTCCTACAATGCTCTTTGTCATGGTTTTGATTTTACGTTAATTTATAGGTTTGTTTGTTTATGACCCTGTCTTCCTAACTCGTCCGGACAACCACACAGAACCGGTCTGTGGGGCTCGTCACTGTGTCCACAGCGCCGTGCAGAGCTCTGGGGCCGAGCCGAGGAAGCAGTGTCACTTGAGAGCAGAGGCTCTGAATTCCAACCCTGGCTCTATGCTTTAGTGGCTGGGTGACCTGTCTCCGAGTCCCGGTTCCTCCTCCGTAAAGTGGAGAGAATGATAATGCCTGCCCCAGAGTCCTCAGGAGGCTTGTAAAAGATAACACACCTTGAGCGCTTAGAACGGAACCTGGCACACAGTCAGCATTCAACAAACATTGACTAGTAGAAATAGCAGCTGCTTAATAAATACATACTGAATGAATGAGAGAATGAATGAATGAAAAGAACTCTGCTAGGACTTGAGTCCTTGAGCCAGTCCTTCTGGAAAGGCCACGTGGTACAATCACGCTGTCTGCAGAGGGTTGAGAGACGGAGCAGAGCCCAGGACACAGGCAGCTCCCCACCCTCCCGGGGCCCCACCTCACCTGTGACCCTGCAGCCGAAGAGCTCGAGCCGGAGGGCGATGCCGGAGTGCCAGGTCTGCGGGCGGATCCTGACGAACCTGGTGAGCAGCGGCGTGTGGAGCCTGTTCAGAACCACCTCCGTGGCATCGTTGTTGGCTTGGAAGACCTGTAACAGGAGATGCAAACGGCGATCTTAAAATCCCTGTGTGTAGTTCAGCGGCTCGAGCCGTCTTTGAAGGGGGTGCAGAAGTTCTGCTGAGCTTTATTTCCTTCAAGCTTAAAAACAATCAGCGGTTTTGTTGTTTGGGGCTTTTTGAGAAACACCATGAAAAAAACATTTAATTTCTCACACTGCTCTAACTTGAAAACAATAAATGGTCTTCACAAAAACGTTTGGAGGGAAGGAAAATTTTGCCTTTGGGCTGAGAGCAAGCAGAGGAGGCGCCTGGAAAACGAAAACACTTTCAGACGCTCAGAGAGAGGGGACAAAAGTGGACTATCCTTTAAAAATGGAGCGGAAATATCATCTTTTAGGGCTGGCGGCCCTCACCCACTAGCTTGAACTTGACTCTCCCTCTTCCTCATGTTGCAAGCATACAGGAATATTTGCAGGGTATTTTATAATTATAATGTGCTTCCCAATTGTCTTTTTCATTATTTAGAGGCCTCCATGCTCCAGGAACAGCGAGAGGATGGGGGCACCGTCTACCCCCAATGCCCCGTGTCAATCGACACTGTCTCCGTTCTCTCTGGTCTTTGTTGCAGGGTCAGGGTTGCAGACAGTCCCTCGGAGTCCCTCTGGCAGTGGTCCCACCCTGCAATGAAATCTATCCTTGTCCCCATCTGACCAATGCGTCTCTGATGGGAGGAAAGGCTTTTCGGAGAAGCCTCTAACCCAACATGGTAGGAGCAAGTCCTAGCTTACCAGATGGCCCGAATCAATAATGCCACATGGACATTATGCTGTCGTGTGCTCTCCATCAAAAAAAAAAAGGAGCTGGAACAAGTATATGTGAGCTTCTCTTGGTTTCCCTGGATAAGGGTGGAAGGAAAGACCAACTAACCAACCATCGCTTATAAATCATAAGTGTCACAGCTGCAACAACCAGGTGACCATAGATCTACGCACAGCCAACTCGGAAACAACCGGCAATTTCTCCAGATGCCTCAGCTCACGCGACCTGTAACCTGTGAGGTGTTTGAGCACTGCCAGCCCGGGACAAGAGGAATGGGGAAACTGGTCTATTTGAGGACTTTTGAGCCAGATGCTGTGCAAACACAACCACCTCTACCACACCCCAGGAGCTCAGCAGTGTTCTTTCCACTTTGTTGATGAGGACACTGAGGCTCAGAGATGTCTGTCTGGATCCAAAACCCTTGCCACGGTTCCTAGGTTGACTCTCATCCTTTTAACACATTTGCAGCATTTATGTTGGTGGCTAGGAATCATGGAGCCCTGTAGGTCTCCACGCATGGCTTGAGTAGAGGTGCTGTCTGGTAATGTGTTCCCAGCGCTTTTATAATCCCCACTTAGGATGCTCTGGGTAACTGCAAAGAGCAGCCCGAAGCTTAGAGCTAACTAACAGTGTGGTCCTTTCTTCCCACTAACTGTAACCATGAACTCTGCCATGTGGCAACCTTGAACCCTTCACGGTTCCCACTTGCCAAAGTCAAAAGTTAGAGGCATTTAATAGCACACCACTGACAGTGGGGTGGAGAGTAAGAGACATCACACCTTTTGCAACCAAATGAAGAGAAGTGTTTGGCTGAAGATGAAGAGAGGAAAGGAGAGGAGGAAGCTGGCTTTCAGCAGCCCGCCATCTTCAGTTTAAACCGTTGTACCTGGTGCTCAGCCCACTGAATCCAGGGCAGCTCCCACCCAGCCTGCTGCTCCCTCTGCTCCCCAGGGAGCCACTGCCTGGTCCTAAGGCCACCAGTCTCCACTCTGCAGCCTCGCTGACCGCTGGGAGCACAGAGGCAGGAATGCCTGACCACTCCTCTCGCAGGTTCGATATGGCTGCTTCCAGCTCAGAGACTGAGGACACAGAGAGGCGAGAAGACCCACAGAGAAGGCGAAGGACCCAGGGAGCAGAAGGAACGAGGGCTAGAGCTGGCCGCCTGGAGAAGGCCCACGGAGAGGCCTGACTCTGCAGACGGCTGACTGGAGGGACAGGGCCCAGGGAGGTCCTGGCTCTGCTGTGCCACTCCCTGGCTCTGCTGTGCCTATACAGAGCTCCGAGGAGAGGGGTGGAGGAGATGAACGGGGAGAAAGAGATTAATGGGTTCTCCTACAATTCAGCACAAGGGGGCTTTTTGTTTGTTTTCTGTTTTGTTTTGGCAAAGAAGAGGCAAATGCAGTACTTGGCTTATTTTGGACCGTGCTGTGAGCGGTGGGGGCCACCACTGGCCTGCTCCCTGAGGATGGTGATGTGACCGTGTGTGGCCTCCGTCAGGAGACGCCGAGAGCTCACACGGGGGGGCTGGATTTCCGTGTGAGTACATGATGGGAGCGTTGAGTGGATGTGAACTTTAACACAGCTGCTAATCCACAGCACACATACCACGCTGGTACCGTTTAGAAACACAGCACGCATTATGTGTTTTTAATATCCAATTTTGTCTTATCTGACCCCTTCATTTCTCAGCCTTGGCAGAAACACCAAGAAACCTTTTCTCCTTCTCCTCAGTAAGGAAATGACTGTGTCTCTGAATGCATTCAGGAGGCTGGCGTGTGCGTGGGTGTGGCTGCATGCTGGCTGGGGGTGCACACTTGCATGCGTACATGTCCAGGGAGGGGGTTGGTCTTCCCAGGGGTGCATGTGGCCACAGGCCTTGTGAGCACCCAGGTCTCTGCCCGCAGCGGCGTCAGTCAGAGCGGAGGCAAGCGCATGGCTTATGTATCACAGGCCATCTGCCTGGCTGCTCAGACTGCACTGCACTCTGCCCTCCCTCTCTCCCACCCTGGATCCAAATGAAGGCTCCTCAACGCGGCCTCAAGTCAAGTGCCACATCTCAGAGCCTCCATCCTTCCAGGTTTCTTGTTCACTCTTGACCTTGTGCTCGTGTCTGCCCTCTGTTCTCTGGACCCTGTGCCTAAGGAACACCATCTTCCCTTTAGTAAACTTTTTGTACACCTCTCACTCTGAGCATGGCCTAGCGGGAAAAGCCCAAACATCACTGAGCCAGGAGCAGGACGCAGACCCTGCTGCTAATTCACTCAAATGTGCGGGCGAACATCCCCACCTCTCCCAGGCCCGATTTCCTCCTCGATTAAATGAGGGGATGTATGAACTGATCTGTACGGTCCTTTCTGGCGCCCAGGTTCTAAGGTTTTCTTCTCGAGACCATCCAGTCTAGAACCGCCCGGCTGGGTCCCCTCTGTAACAGGGCATCTTGTGCCCATTGCCCTCATAGTTTCAGCGGTCGTGTGAACGGGGCTGTGGATCCTGACACACTTCAGATGGTGCCCAGGACACACGGCGAGTGCCCACTCAGAGTGAGAAAAACCTTGCTCATGTTTTGGTTCAATAACAGTTCAAATTATTAGTATCAGAGAGTAATGAATAACAACACCTTAGTCTTTACATTTTGTCTTTCACCCAAAGATATCAAAGTGCAATTTATGAAAATCCATTTTTAATGAAATATTAAGCAGTTTCTATTTCTCCTGACCCAATGGACGTATGAGGTCTCTATTTTCTCCCTGCGTCTCCCTATTTATAGCTGGTAAATGCTATCATATATTATACATCTTTACGACTTTCTCAATGCTTCTGTGGTTTCGGAACCACCCTTCACATGTTTTCTGATCAAATTCTCTGAGATGGATTCTTGGCTTCCAGTCCAGGCGTTGCAAGGGATGGGGCTGTGTGAGTGGGAATCGGTTCTATTCCCTATTCTCTGCCGACTCACTGAATCGCTACAGGCAAATCAATCCACCTTAGATACCTTGGTTTCTCCTTCAAGAAAATAAAGTCAATAACAGGCCTGCAGACTGACACTCAAGTCTACCAGCCCGGCCGGCTCCAGCGCCTGCACAGCACCCAGCACAGATGTTGGAGCGTGGCCACGTCACAGGTAACAGAGGAGTATCTGTCCAACTGGGAGAGTTCAAGTGCTGGAGGCCACTGACTTTCAAGTCCCGCCTTGAGGCCGGAAATCTTCAGGCCATTACTTCCCAGAGGTGTCCCTAAAGCTGGGAAGGCTCAGTGTATTGCCAGCGTACGGGACACCCAGGTAAGCACGTATCAAACGTGATGATCAATTACAGCATCTGCTTTAGACGCTGGATGTCACAGATGGTACACATTTTTGTTAATTTTAAAAGAAAAACGCTAGTATGGTTGCTTTACCACCCAGAGGAAAATGAGAAGTGTGTTCAGGTGACTCTAGCTTTCTTAAGAGGCAGGGACAGTGTTGATTATGCTGCAGTTATTAAAAAGAAGTATATATACATAGGGGTGTGTGTGTACACATATACACGTGTATATATATATATGAAGTATATATATATGTGTATATATATATATATGTTGAACATAAAGATTTCTTTGAGTGCATTTCTGTAACCAAGTTTAAAAAATGATTCAGGGTACATAGTGGTTTGGATAATCCATTTGGTGCGGCGCTGAATTCTTGACACAAACCAGCCCTTTTCAATCGACTCCTGAGCCCTTCGGTTTATTTGCAGTAAGACAGAGTCTGAAACAGCCACACTTCACGGGTGCTCCGATTTGCACCTCTGGGATGGGCACTGCCAATTAAATTGGCCGCTACCCAACATGCCAGTTTAGTTACTATCTACACCCCACCCAGGAAAAGAAAGTCAACCTGTTTTGACCAAGCCTGTAGCTCATACACAGCTAATACTGGGTAAAACAAAAGAAACAATATGTATAACCCAATAAGAAACTTCTTGCCAGAAAGCATTGTTGACAGTTGTTGAGGTCATCTTTCCTCTGATTTCCCCCATTTCCAGTCGCAGCCACCTCTCCCTGTGGACGCTCTGTCTGTCCTCTTTGGAGAACGTGTCCTCCACTGGGGCACAGTGGAGGGCAGCCAGCATTTGGCCTGCGCCCCTTGGAGGCCTCGGGGCAGGGGCCTTCCTGCCAGGTCCAAACCCCTCTCCCTTGCACCATCAACCTCTGCCAGCCACATCCAGGGCCT